TATTTACTTTGGTGCAATTAACAACGAAGAATTAAAATGAAAAACCAGTAAGGTTTTGAATATGTTACAAAATGTTGGATTAACAATTAACGAAAAAGAACGTGTGCTCAACACTAAAAAATATTGTTTTTTTGATATTCCATATCTAACAAAGGCATATCACCAAACCAAACGTTAATTGACAAAAAATTAAAAATTGAGGTTCCAAGAACAAAAAAGAATTGAAATCTTTCTTAGGATTTGTAAAATTCTACAGGCGATATGTAGAGCAATACTTCAAATTGACAGAACCTTTTGCTGCTTTAAGAAAAAAGAATGTGTAGCTTATTTGGACAAATGAACAACAAGTGGCATTTGAAAACTTAAAAGCTGTTCTGGCAAAGAAGCCAGCAGTAAAAATATTCAACCATAGAAAAGAAATATTAGTAACAACTGAGGCAAGTGAACACTCATGTTCGAGAATATTAGCTCAGGATGGTCATCCTATTATCATTATATATCTTTCGAGAAAATTGATAAAAGCCGAATCAAATTACTCAAATATTGAAAAAGAAGTCCTGGCTATAATATGAACAACAAATAGAGCTCGAAAAGAAGTCTTTTTGATTGGAAAGAAATTCCTACGAAAGACCGACCACAGACCGTTAGAATTCATATTAAATCCTAGGAAGGAACTTCCTAAGGTAACGTCTTCTAGAATTCTAAGATAGGCCTTAATGTTAATGGTGTTTGACTTTGATATTGAGGACGTTAAAGGCAATACCATTCCGAATGTAGACGCTTTGTAGAAATTGAGTTTCATTAATCCTGAAAGTTCATTGCAGAATTTAATCTACGAGGATTCATAATATAAAAGTGAAGGAATAAAATGAGAACTAGAAAACCTATGAAAAAAACGATAGCGTCATGATCTTAAAGCAAAGACGAACATGACAGTGAAATTTAGTATCAATGAACAATCGTTCAAGGAACACTTATCAAAAAAACATCATGGACAATCTCTTAGGGATGAAGATAGTGAGGAGACAAAAGCTCCCAGAAGAAGTACCAAGGAAAATAAGCGGATAAAACTTCTTCGGTCCAGGAAGATGAGGTGACTCATTTACATGGGAAGTCACAAAGACTAGAAATACCTATGGTTATTTCCCATGAGGCAGTTGAGTGCATTCTACATTACAAGTTTCTTACTCAATACAAACCCCAAGAGCCACTCAAATAAGAGGTTAATGAATGAGAGCGCTGTAAGAAGAGGAGGTAGGAAGTTCAGTTTATGAGAATATATAGGAAAGATGACGTATAAATCTATACTTGAAGAGGTTAAGATTGTAGTGATCGGGGAAGTATCCACTCAGGAGGCTGTTCGACAAAGTAACAGCTGTCCGAATGAGACTTCCTCCTTACTAATGGAATATGAAGGGAATGGGGATGATTAATCCCAGTCTACGTGGCATGGTGGGTCTTAACTGTTTTGGAACTGATTAATGTAGCTCGTTTGAACATTTGCCATGGAAATAGCGATAGATTAGCGAGAGGCCTGCAACTTTTCGTCTGTGGGGAAAAGGGGTTTGTGATATAGTTGCATATTACCTGCCAGCACCAGTCTGAAACGGCATCTAGTTTTAAGTAATTGTTTTAAATTCTGCTTTTCAAGATAGTCGAACAAGCAGACGCTTCTCTGTCAGTTACTGCCAATCTTTGTACAGCAGATAACTTATTCACATTTAATACTTGTCCTTATGGTGAGTTTCGTATAAACAAAACAAGACAAGGAATGATTTTTGAATAGCAGATGAGAAGTGTTGATAAATAGAAACCTAAGCAAAGAACAAGTTAAAACATTTGCTTAGAATATAACTGCCACATCTTGTCTGGTGCTCCTGCTATATATTTAAAGATACTTGATAAAATCCAAAGAATCTACAATATTATTGCTCGCCAAATTTTTCTCGCCAAAATCTATCTTACACATTTATAAGTCTACCATGCATTGAATATAGCTGCCACATCTTGTCTGGTGCTCCTGCTATATATTTAAAGATACTTGATAAAATCCAAAGAATCTACAATATTATTGCTCGCCAAATTTTTTACCATCATTGCCAAAATCTATCTTAAAATCCAAAGAATTTATAATTGCTCAAAATTTTACCATGCATTGAATATATGCATTGAATATAGCTGCCACATCTTGTCTGGTGCTCCTGCTATATATTTAAAGATACTTATAAAATTTACAAAAGATAAATTTTTCTCGCCAAAATCTAAAATACCAAAGAATCTACAATATTTTATTGATAAAATCCAAAGAATCTACAATATTATTTTTTTTTCCAAAATCTATCTTACACATTTATAAGTCTACCATGCATTGAATATAGCTGCCACATCTTGTCTGGTGCTCCTGCTATATATTTAAAGATTCTTGATAAAATCCAGAGAAGTATCTGCAGTGTTATTTATCCTAACCTGGCAACTCGACTTCAATTTCTTTCCAACCGCCGTAATGTAGTTTCCCTGTGCCTTTTCTATAAATACTTTCATGGTAATTGTCCGAATATGGGCTTCACTATGGTACCTCGACTTTATTAATCTAATCGGAGTAGTAAATTGGCGGCAAGGTCTGATTAGTTCACGGTTGAATTGGCTAGATGTAACTGTAAGTTCTATGTTGACACTTCCTTCTCTAGCACTTCTCGCTGGTGGAACTCTCTTTTGGCTCCATGCTTTCCATCCAACTTTGATCTTCAAAAATTTAAATGCAATGCCAATTGTTAGCTTCTGCCTTTTTTTTGATTACTCCTCTTTTATTGTTCTTTCTCCTTAATTTTTTTTTTTATTTTTTTCTTATTCTTTTACACTAAATTAATTCCTTGTGTCTTAGTGGCAAAGACTGTCTTTCTTGGGGCGAAATGATTAAAAAAAAATTAAGAATAATTACTACTTAAAGAATATAAAAAAAAAGATAAATTCAGGATGTGGAATTAATAAAACAAAAGTAATCTCTTTTAATCGTCTAAGCGAATCGTTTTTTAACGTCCATCAGAATGGCTGATGCTAACCTCCAAGAGAGAATGAATCATTGCGCCTTCTCAGGTTAACGTTTTACGGGGACATGAAATGGAAAGATTATATTGAACCAATTGTAAGTCTGTTGACAGAAAAGTTGGGGTTCCCTGCGTCGCGAAATTTTGAATTCCCAAGTTTTCATAACTGCAATTGTTTTCGGCGAATTTTTTACGTGACTTTTTTACGACGAATTTTTTTATCCGATAACAATTTTTATAACTTGGAAATAAATTTGGGAATAATCGAAATTAATTGCGAAATCCATCGAAAGTCAGCCATGAAATAAAAGAATTGTTTGTACGGAAAGTAAGGACCTACGTACATCAAATTGTCTTTAGATTAAATGGCGGCAGAAGAATTATCGTTGAACTTTTAAAAGGAAAATTTAAATATTGATACAATACTTAAAAGCAGCGACCAGTTTTGAGTTCTGTAGTTTATTGTTGTCTATCGCATCTACTTCTCCCTAGCTATTGTGATGAAGGCCCAATCACGAACTCTACACAGGAGCTAGCTTAAATGCCGCCTTATTAGGCGGTTTTTAAGCTAGTTAATAATAAAATTTTTAATATTTTTATCTTAACGTTTTGTAACATGAATCGATTTTAAAAGAAAGCCAACGGGTTTATAGGTTATCTAGTATTCCATAACTGTTCAATGGAGGACAAGTCTAGCAATCGTGCGGGCAAAGGAATTTTCAGAACGTTGGGTATCGACCGAGGTTTGAAATTTATTGCCAGCCCACACTATGATGCCAGTTGTTGGTCCTCTGTGTGTCGTTGGAATACACTCCGGAAGATCACCAAGTCTATGTCAAGTTTGTAAGCAACCATCACTTACATGAAGGTAGATCCTGCTCTCATCACTGAGTGCTATTCAATCTCTCAGGTGATCGTCTTACACAGAAGTGGGCAAACTTTTTCAGGGAGGGCCGAATCATTGTCAGTCCCGTGTAAAATCAGCCGTATCAAAATAAAAAAAAAACAAACAAACAAAATTTTGCGTTCCACAGCGATAAGATTCACAAGTTGTGTATTTTATTTGTACATTGATTTGCTTTATTATACTATTGTTCACCCAATGCACGGCCCAAGAACCACTCAAGGTAGAGTGTTACAAAATGAGATTGTTGTAAGTGTGTAAAAGGAGGAAGTCAAAACTGCATGAGATGTAGGATAGATAGCGAATGACCATAGACTTAAAAAGGTTAAGATTGTAGTAGTCAAGGAAGCACCATCTCGGGAGTCTGTTCCACAAAGTGATAGTTCTGAAGAAGAATCTGCCTCAGTGGAACTCAATACAATGCCTACGAACCACCCAGGGTTACTGAGTATGGTTGTCGTATGGATGTAAGAGGAGGAAGTAAGTTCAGATGAGGATATGTAGGATAGATAACGGTTGACCGTAGATTTGAAGAGGTTAAGATTGTAGTGATCAGTGAAGCATTCTCTCGGGAGTTTTTTCCACAAAGTGACAATTCTGGGCAAGAAGCTTTCTGAGTGGAACTTCCTCTTTACTAATGCAATACGAAAGGAATTAGGATGAATTATTATATTTTGTGAACAGACTGCACTAATGTATGAGGAATTAGTTTAATTTAGAATTTATTTATCAATATTAATGACATTTGTGAAACTGAGAAAAATCTTCTACAATAATCAGAAATCTCGATAAATCTCGAAAAATCTCGTGAGACTTTTAGAACGAGCCGCAGAAGTGCATTCCAGCTGGGGTACTCACAGGAACCTGGATCCCAGCGTCAATTTACACTGAGCCCATGAACTGGCATCGGCACAGCGATCTAGGTGCTTGTGACAGTACATATTATGCAGAAAGTGACTTTCCTGAGAACTGGATTTGCTTTTAAATTGGGATTCACCTCTCCGATTTCCAACTCCGAGCCGTTAGCCGTTACACCACCCGCTCATCCAACCTTACAGCACCTGGTATTCGCAAGAAGTCGCCCATCTAGGTACTGACCAAGCTCGACGTTGCTTAACTTTAGTGACCGTACGAGAAGCGGTGTTTCAACGTGTTATTACATTTATCACTATGAATGGGATTTTATAATCGTAAAAGGTAGAAATTACGTCATATTTTTATTTCTTGTTGGAAGACATACAGGCACCTAGATCCCTATTTTAGTTAACATTGTGCCAATGACTGAGCATTGATATCGGCAAAGTTGAACATAACGCAATATGTTGATTGTTTTCGGAAGGGAGTTTCGTGACAATTGGAGTTCGCTATTAAACATATTTAGTTTGTGTTTTTGGTTTCTTTAGTCTTATTTTGAATAGATTGCTATTGAAACGTGGAACAAAAGAATAGACACATCTGTTAATGGGTATATTTTTTTTTAAAAAAGGTTTTTGTGCTCTTGAGGACCGCATAAAATTATCAGGTTGACCGTAGTATTCCGACCTTTGTCCTCACAACAGCACTGAATATGTCAACGATTCTATTGGGGTGTTAAAGTTTGATTAGAGTCACATAAACCCGTAGACTTATTGCAAGTAAACGGTTCATGTTGACACACCTGGGACCACATTTGCAAAAGTGTGTATAAATTTTGAAATATTATATTATTTTATTATGTATATAAAATCTATCATATATCATATGACATATTCATTTATTATATATAAATATATCATATCATTTATCATATCATATCCGTTTACTATAGACAAAAGGTATGTCATATCCTTTTATTATATATAAAACTTATTATATATATATCATGTCCGTTTATTATATATTTAAGATATCACATCATATAACATATATATCATATTCGTTTATTATTTATGAAAGGTATCATATATTTATCATATCCATTTATTATATATAAAAGGCATCATATCATATATATCATATCCGTTTATTATATATAAAAGGTAGCTTCAATAATGTCTATAGTCGAATGACAAAAAATCATTTATTTTTCACAACAATTATTTATTTTTCAATATAATCTCTTGCCTTATCAATGCACTTTATTAAGTCGTCAATATTAATCACGAAGCTCAAACAGTAAAAAATTCTGATCAACTTTTAAATAGGCCCGGATAAGTCCGGACTTTTAAAAGAAGACATAGATTGGGTTAAGTCTTAATACGAGATTCTAAAAAATAGACATACATCCGGTTAGGACGATATTCTAAAATGTCGACATAGGCTGGGTTAAGATGAGAATTTAAAAAGTAATCATAGGTCGGCTTAAGACGATTAATTGATTTTTACTCTTTCATCAGCCCTTTGAGGGTTATTTAAAGTCAGAAAATAGTTTTACATTGTAAGACTTTTTTTTGACATACTAATGGTTTACTGATAGAAATCCTACTAATTTAATCTAAAACTAGAGTCGGATTAATGCCAGCTTTCGCAAGGATATTGGTGCGTAAGTGAATATAACGATCTCAACGGGAATTGGAACATGCCTCTCCGATTTCAAATTCCGAATCATTATCCATTACAATATATGTGCATCCAAGCTTACAGCACCTGGCATTCCTATACAGTGACCCATTTATGTAAGAACCAGGTATGTAAGAACCATTTATGTAAGAACCATTTAAAATCATTTATGTAAGAACCATTTATGTAAGAACCATTTATGTAATAACCAGGTTGGACGTGATATGGATGTAAGTCTTTAAAAAGTCCGATAAAGATGAGATTGTAAAAAGTAGACATAAATTTGATTAAGACAAAACTTTAAAAAGTCGAAATATGTTCGGTTGAGAATAGACAAAAAGTGAAAAAAAGTCCAGTTTACAATAGAATTAAAAAGGTGGACATAAGTCTGGCTTACACCGGAGTTAAAAAATGGCCTGCAATCATTCGCTGCAGACGATGTAGTTTGCACATTTTTACTTCCGTTGAGAAGATCATACTATCATGCATTGATTGTTTAGAAACATTTTTTTAATCTTTATCATCACCTTTCGATCGCTCTGACTTCCGCTTTGTTATTTTTTTCTAAATGTTTGAAATAACCTTTTATTGGTAAGTATTTATTCTTGCAGACTAGGGTTTTTTTCGTTTTCTTGTTTGCCCCACATTTTTTGATTTTTCTTTCTCGAAACGAATTTTCAAGTCGAAGCGTTTTATTTAATGAGGGGTTTCTGAAAAATTCATGGCTCGACTAAGTCATTCATTCAAAAAAATTGTAATGTTTGATGGATTGACTGATTTGTCTTTTTACGGTTTACCAAAATTTTTTGCTTTATTTAAAGCCGAAACGTATTTTAAGTTGTAAGAATAATTATCTTTTTATTTTTTTTGCTAGTGATTATTGCATGAACAATTTTCCAGAGACCAGTTCTACTATTTAACCCATAGTTGGTGGGTAGGAGATGAATTTATACATTTCTCAAGGGTATTTGCGCATAAGTGAATGTAAAGAATTCGACTGAAATCCGAACTCGGTTCTCCACTTGCCAATTTTGAGCCACTATCCTCACATTACAAATTCAGGGAAGTTGGTCGGGATAATAATTTTTCGGTAACTCTTCGCATTATACATTGATTCATTTGAACAGGTTTTCTGAATTTGTTTTAAGCACAAAAAAAGCAAAAATTCATCCAAATAATGGTCTTGATTTATAGGCTTTCTTGATGTGGCAGATTAATGAGCAGTTGCTTCTGGCATCGGTAGTTGATGTTCGAGCCCAAATAAAAGCATATTAAAAGCTGATTTTCAAGGCAAAAATTAAAATCTTCCAACATAATTTAAACTTGGTAAATATCAATAGATTTGACTAATTTTTTAAAAAAAAAATACTTCTTTACTTGATTTTCGGATAAATCACCTGACAAATGAAGAAAAGGCTTGTTGTCACTTAATTTTCACTGAAAGTAACCAGATACAATGGGTACCGCGAGACAATTTTTTAATAGGTGTAGAAGAGACTTGAGTCAATAAAGAATCTATCGAGGAATGTCGAGAATAATGTTGTAGAGTAAGACTCGATGTACTTCCTGCTCTTCCCTACTATTGTGATAATGGACTGCTCTTACGAACCCAACAAGAATTGGAACTCGGCGCTCCGATTAAAAATTATGAGCCGTTATCCATTACACCACCCGCACATCCAAACTGACGACACCCAGTATTCCCAAACGGTCACCCATCTAGATACTGAGCAGGCACGATGTTGCTTAACTTCGCAGATCAGACGAGAACCGGTGTTTTCAACATTCCTGACATGTAGATATATCCTAATTATTTTATTCTATTATTTTTTATGACAAGTAACCACCTTAAAGTAGGATTTGAGTAGTATCTGATTTAATCATATTTTTCGTTCTATGTATGAGTAATTAATAAACCGCTGCTTCTTTGTTTTCCCAATCTAGTCTTCTGTTCCTTCGATACTCTCTCTAAATACGGCCTTCTTAATTCTCGACTATTTTGAACTCCTGTATATGAGTATTTAATAAACCTTTTCTTCTTTGTTTTCGTAATCTAGTCTTCTGTTCCTTCGATACTCTCTCTAACTACCGTCTTCTTAATTCTCGACTATTTTGAACTCCTGTATATGAGTATTTAATAAAGATCTTCTTTGTTTTCCAAATCTAATTTTCTGTTCCTTCGATACTCTCTCTAAATACGGCCTTCTTAATTCTCGACTATTTTGAACTCCTCTATATGAGTATTTAATAAACCTATTTTTCTTTGTTTTTCTAATCTAGTCTTCTGTTCCTTCGATACTCTCTCTAACTACGACCTTCTTAATTCTCGACTATTTTGAACAAAGACAACATTCCAACAAATACTATGCAGACAATACTATGTGTAGAATCTAAATAAAGTATTAAGAAATGGTAAAAATTTTGTTAAAAACAAAGAAAAATGTGCTGAACTCTTTTGTAATATCTAATCTCGTAAATGGCTGTGAATACTAGGCAATGTCTCCACAGTTTTTCTACCGACGGATGTTGAGGATATCCGCGACAGAATACGTGAGGAAAAAAGAATTTTTAAGGCAACTGATGTTAATGATCAGAAAGATCGTCAGAGCTGTTTCCCATCGAAGGCTCACTGCAAATTTGCAATTTCTCATCATTCAGCAACTCTTATTATTTAAACTATTTACATTCGGACTATTTTCCTTATCTTTTTTGTTGTTGTTGTTGTTATCACGACGTTTCGCCCGTTGTGCTCTCCGGCCTTCTTGTGTATATCGATTTGCATAGAATTACAGAGAATTCCGAACTGAACCCATTATATAATCCACGGGGGTAGACCGTTCTCGTTTCACTGCTCATGTCTCGGGATATCTCGTTTAGTTCTTATTTTAATACAGTTCAAGTACATGCTGCCCGGCCCAGGCATTAAACTCAAAATGCCACCAGATTCATGAACCAACAATTTAATATATTAGGCTATTTTCTCGTGTTCAGACAGAAATCAAATCTTATCAGTCCTTTCCATATCTCAATTTTTGTTCTAACTAACGGAAGGTGCTTCAGGTTTTCCTGTCTCTTCAAATTTTGTTCTTGATGGGCAATGGTGGAATTGCATTGATAGTTCCTTTAATGTCATTGTTCATTGTGTATACTATGATTATTTGAGATAATCATTTAATTTTTCTTTTAAGCTTTTTACGTCAAGCAAGGCGAGAGTGCCACTAGCACGCAAGCGATTATAGAGAGTGGGAGCAAGAGTAAAGAGGCATGAAAGAGGAAAATATGAAGAAAAGGACAGGGAATTAGATCAAGGCATCTGAAGATGTCGATTGACATTGCTTTTGAGTATTTGGAGATTATAGCTATCAGGGTTGGTTAGTTGGTTGGTTGTTTTGTTTTATGGCATATCAAAACCTCAGTGGGTCATTTAATGACAATAAAATTTTGAAATAGATTCATAGCGATAGTTGGGAAAAAAAGGTGTATATGTATACATATATATTTGAACCATTTTTTCAATTACTCATATTTTTAAGTACAATCCAAATTCTTTTAGGAAATTTACAATCTTGGATGGTTTTATTTTCGTAAAAAGTTTTTTTTAAATTACTCACTTGGTAATATTTTGTTCGCACTAGATCAAAGTCTGCACACTCTAACAGTAGCTGTTTCACTGTAAATTTATCTTGGCATGTAATGCATATTGGGGATACAAAATTTTTATTGCTGGTAATATTTTGTTTCGTCAAAAAAATCTATTTCTGGTAATAATTTTTCCTTCAAAAATGTATTTTTGGTAATAATTTTTTTCAAAAATGTATAGCTGGTAATATTTTTTTCCAAAAATGTATTGCTGGTAATAATTCTTTTTTAAACATATTGTTGGTTATATTTTTTTTCCAAAAAAACGGAAGATGCTTCAGGTCTTCCTGTCTCTTCAAATAATAGTAATAGTTTTTTTCTTCAAAAATTTATTGTTGATAATAATTTTTTTTACATAGTATTTCTGGTATTAAAACTTATTTTTACACTTTCATAGTGTTTTACCCCAGTTTAGGAGTTAACTATTTGCCCATAGCTGGGATCCTAACAGGGTCAGGGTAGACATGGGAACACCAGCAATTAAGAGGTGGTTCCAGGTTCCTCAAAACCTGATCAGAGGCTTTGCTGCTGGACGAAGTTTATGGTCTTACCCAGGATGCGGATGTAGTTTATCGTCATACCCAGGACGGATAGCTATCAGGGAAGCAAGTAAGAGGAAGGGAGTTCCACAGAAGGTACGTGAGAGACATGAAGCTATTGGAGTAGAAAAGACGGCTACATTTAACAGTTTCGACAGTGAAAGGGTGGGACTGAAATGCCAACCTAGTAGCACGTTTAAATTCATGCAGTTTGGGAACCAGCGAAAGTAGTTACCGTGAAAGTATTTTTAGAAAAGACAGAGGGAAGCGATGGCACGTCTGTGAGAGTACAACCGTAAACGAGATACCAGATCAGAGCCAATCACATTGCATATCCGTCTCTGGATTTTGTCGAGGACCTTAAGACGAACAACGGGGGCTCCAGACTCTGTATGGTAGCATTATTCCATGCAAGGGCGAATGGTTGATTTATAGATTTGAAGGATGGTCTCAGGGGAGAAAAACTTCTGGTGCGACACAGAAAACCAACTTTCCTTGTGGTAGATGAAGCTTTTTTTATTTTTTTTTTAAGCATTTCACCCCAAGCAAGGCGGGAAACCACTAGCACGCAAGGGATTATAGAGGATTTGGAGCGAGAGCAGATAGGAATGATAGAGGAAAGGATGAGGAGAAGGATAGTGGATAGATCAAGGCAACTGGAGATGTCGATTGACATTACATTTGATTAGTTGGAGATTAAAGTCATCAGGGAAACATGAGTAAGGAAGGGAATTCCACAGGCGAGAGGTGCGAGATATGATGCTATTGGAGTAGAAGAGACGGCTACATTTAAAACTTTCGACAGTGAAAGGGTGGGAGCGGGATGACAGCCTCGTAGGGCGCTTGAATTCATGAAGTCTGGGAACCAGTGAAAGCAGCTCATCAGAGCAATTACCATGAAAGTATTTGTAAAAAAGACAGAGAGAGGCGACGGCACGTCTCAATGTTTTTGTTTCATCTCAGGTCAGCGGACAGTGCGAGACCAAGTAGTCGTAGAAAGGTGATCTCGTGGAGTTGAGCATCTATTATATATTTTAATATATATTTTAATATTTAATCCTTCATTTTGAATGCATCCATATTCCTTCCTATTCTCATGATAATTTCCTATGATGTTCACTCTGCACAAAGCTCGACGTAGAGCATTACAGTAATCTTATTTAGAGCAGATGACAAAAAACATGATAAACAGACGACAAACAGATAATAGGCAGATGATCAACAAGTTCAGTTGGAAAGATAAGGTCTGATTGATTCGTTTTCTACGGCTTATCAACCCTTTGTAGGTTATTTAAAGCCAGAAAATATTTTTAGATTCTTAGAATTTGCGGGCGAGGTGTGGGGAGATACTAATGGCGTAGTGATAAAGTTTTATTAATTAACCAATAGCTGGCGGGGGGAGAAGAAGTGAATTCACGCCTTTCTGAAGGGTATTTGCGCAGAAGTGAATATAATGAACCCAACAGGAATTGGAACTCGGCTCTCCGATTAAAAATTCCGAGCCGTTATTCATTACACCACCCGCACATCCAAACTGACAGCATGTGGCATTCCCAAACGGTCACCCATCTAGGTCCTGAGCTTTGCTTAACTTTGCTGATCGTACGGGAACCAGCGTTTCAACGTTCATGGCATCTAAACCCATCCTAATTATTTTATTATTTTTTTTTTACAATGATATTCACCCACTATACAAGTCTCAAGAGCAACTCGAGGTAGAGGGTTACAGAGTAAGAGACACCGTTTATGCGGATATGTGGGGAAGATAACGGTTGACCCTAGACGTGAACAGATTAAGGTTGTAGTGACCGGAGAAGCAGCCTTTTGGAAGTCGATTACACAACGTAGCGGTTAGTGGGAAGAAGCTGTTTGAGTGGAACTTATATCTCACCAGTGATATACGAAGGGAATGAGGGTGATTCGGTACAATGGGCGTGGCATAGTGGGACTTAGCCGTAAAGGTTAGAACTGGTGGAACTAAAGAATGTGATGATAAAATTTCCATAATATTTAGGTTGCTTCCAGAACTATTAACTTGTACCTTACGTTTCTTCTTCGTCTGTGAAGAAAGGAAATTACCCAGCATTCACTGCCATATAGAAGGATTGACATTACGTAGCAGTTCAGCACTCTTTTTCCCTGTTCCTAACGGATTTTTCCTGTTTCTTAATACTTTACTGAACTTTTGGGAGGCATCTGTTACTATTTCAATGCATTTTACATTGTTTGTTTTTTTTTTCTTTTTTTCTAGTGGTGTTCCCCCCTGTACAAGCCCTGGAGCCACTCGAGGTAGAGGGTTACAGAGTAAGAGGTACAGCTCATGCGGATATGTGCAGAAGTTATCCGTTAACCCTAGACTTGGACAGGTTAAAGATTGTAGTGATCAGGGAAGCAACCTCTTGGGAGTCGGTTCCACAACGTAGTGGTTAGTGGGAAGAAGCTGTTCGAATGGAACTTACATCTAACCAATGGTATACGAAGGGAATAAGGGTGGTTCGTTACAATGGGCGTGGCATGGTGGGTCTTAGCCGTGAAGGTCAGAGCTGGTGGAAGTAAGGAATGTGATGATAAAATCTCCATAATATTTAGTCTCCTTCCAGAGCAA